ACATTCAATACTGAATCGAAATCCTATAAAAATGTTAACTCCAATTGAATATATTCAGATAATACTTCTTAACCAGACAAATAATCATAATAATAACGGACAGACAAAAACACACACGCACCACGCACTCACACCACACACACGCACCACACACACGCACCACACATACGCACGCACAACACACCCACACTTCTATTCATATTTAAACAACAGCTATATATTAATGTATATAAATCGTTAGATGGTGGTGTCGGGGTGAAGTAAGTAAAGCTGAGATTGCAACCTTTTTTTGAAGAGTTGCTTGTTTGTTATGTTTTGAATGGCCTGAGGCACAAATAATTTCCAAATTTTAGGGCCAGTTGTTTTAAACTTGTAGAGATGAGTTTAAGGCGAGTTTTTACTGAGTAAAAGATAGTGGTGTGTCTAGTTTTGAGAGTTTGAACAGATTCACTGAGTGTAAAAAAGTTAGAAAAAAAGGAGGGAAGTAAATTATTTAAGAATTTGAATACAAAAATAGCTGTAAAATAAATGTATAAACAATTAATCGACAAAATATTATGTTTACTAAAAAAAGAGCTAGTGGGAGAGAAAGGGTTCAAATTGAAGATTAAGCGTATCGCTCTTTTTTGTGACAATATCATACAATGAAGATGGGTTTTTGGTGAGTTACCCCAAATGGTTATGCAGTAAGTGAGATGAGGATAAATAAAAGCATAGTAGAGTTGTATGTATGTATGTATGTATGTATGTTAAAACCAAAACATGATGAGTGACACTGAACCGTCAAACATCAAGTAACAAATGGATTAACACTTTGATTTGTCGTTAATTGCACATGTCGGCATTCAGTTGGATATTTTCAAGCACACAGACACGCAGGAACCGCTGCAACAAGCACGAAATGTGGTTAGTTGCGAAAAACAGTTCCCTGCTGTCGCCTGATCTGACGCTGATCATTTTACATATTGCCTTAAGAAATTTAAGGGTGTTGGGGTCCATCGGGCCAAGAACCTCGATACATATTGGCAAGAATTCCATCGAGGGGAGGGCGTTCCCATATTTTTTCATTTTCTCGTCCGCTGCCCTGGCCGCGGCCAAATCGCATTCTTTACTTGTCAGGTTTACATATCGTTTGGCAAGGATGCCAGGGACCGTAACATCCCACGCCAAACATCTATTGGCTCTCCAAGGTATTAGTGTGCATCCGTCCGGGCGCCTACCATCATGCGCAGAAATGCCGGATAGTTCCTTGAGAACCGGGATTGAAGCCTTGGGGAAGAGCCGACAAATGTAGTCGTTTAGCGCTGAGTGACGTAGTTGACGGCCCCCACCCATAGCCAAACTCGTCCGCCCCAGCGCCACATCGGCACGTGTATTTATTTTGAATGACCAGGCCAAGTCTGAAGCCAATGGCAAATCTCACAGACTCGTCGTCAAGCCTGGTGCCCACAGAGATGTTGTGCCACGTTGGGTGTATGTATGTATGCATGTATGTATGTATGTATGTATGTATGTATGTATGTATGTATGTATGTATGTATGTATGTATGTATGTATGTATGTATGTATGTATGTATGTATGTATGTATGTATTTATGTATGTGTGTATGAATGATTATTGAGGTGCTTCGAGAAGAGCAGATATGAATTGATTAGTTATTGATCCGTGCATGGAAGCCAACACTCATTGATTGCATCGACAATTGCTCTTCTCATTCATCACTTCGCTGACATCAGACGATTATATGACTTTTAATCACGTGGTTTTTTACATTTTCATAAATTATTTTAATGAGGTCGGTTGTCAACGATGGCAAAGATCTGGGTTTTACAAAATACCGGTATCAAATGCATTTCATATATCAACACTTTTAAAATTATCGCCAGTGAATAACAATACCAATACTATTACACTATTCAAACAATGCAACTTTTTTTAATAATTGAAGTTTTTATAGTAGTAAATTATTCAGGCATCATATTCAGGAATATAAAGAAGTTCGTTCATCATTTCAAGTTTCAAGCAGAGCAACCTGCTTGCACACTACCTACACTACACAATCTCCTCTACTTGTTATTACTTAACTTTGTGATATTTCCCAGAGGACTGATTTCAAATTGGCTAAAATAAATTAATTTATAAAACTTTTTAACTGATTGAGCTAATTTCAGATTGCAGTATTTACCTACTTGTAACAATCAACTACTAGTTTTACAAGCAGAACGAACTATTCAAAATATACAATTTCTCGCCAGGGGGGAAACACCGATGATGTAAGCATGTTGTTTGCACAGCACGTCAACAGGCATGCGAACCATGGAACTGTTGTTTATATCACTTGTAAGCTATTTCGTTTTGTTGATTTGTCAGCTTTTGTTCCAGCAGACGGCAATTTATGTGCCACAGCACCGTCCTGCTCATTTCGTCTCTCCGGGCAACACCATTCACTCTTTGTCTTCATATATAAATATATACACACAAATAAATAAATGAATATTTTTTATTTAATAGACAAATTCAAGACCATAAGCCAAAATAGGCTGGTAGTGGTCCTGGTCCAAATCAAAAACACAAATGTAATGTAAAAACAACCAAATCAAACCAATAATCGAGAGAATCTGAAAAAATAAATTAAATTTTATATGCATAAACAAGAAAAATTTAACAAAGTTTACTTTTTACAATACGCACAATTTTACGTCAAAATTTCAATAAATGATAAAAAGTAATTTGATAGCAATAATTTAATAATATCTTATTTTAAATTGATAAATATTAATGTCAGATATAAGATAATTACGCAATGAAGATCATAATTTGATACCGAAATTTAAAAGAGAGGTAGAAAATTAATCAGGTGCAGGTTTGCACTGAAGATGATTTGTGAAAAATCGAAATAAGGCCTTATCTGCATGATGAATTTGGATAACAACAGCTTGGCTAAGTTTTCATGATGAACGGGGATGATAATTCTATTTTCAATAAATTGAACAATTTTCAGGAAATTCTAATATGGAAAATTGAAAAGACAAACTTTAAATTGGTTAATGCCAACAATTCGGTAGAATTCACACAAGCTATATAAAATATGGTCTCTTTCCAACATATATATATAATATATATATATATGTGTGTGTGTGTTTGTGTGTGTGTGTGTGTGTCTTGAATAATGGTAATAATTTTATCAGGTAAACCATATAGCATGTTACTGAGACATGTCTGTGTACTAAGACATGTTTGTGTACAGAGACATGTCATTTTTGTTCTAAGTAATTTCTGCTCATTTTTGGTTTAATTTAATTTGTTTTCATTGGCTAGCTATACGATTTTATTTTCATTTATACTGTTATTTTCATATAGGTATGTTTTTATTTGGTTTGGGTGGCCGTACAAGCTCATTTGAGCTCATGTGTCTCCATGCTTTTTGCTGAATAAATCGAATTGAATTGTTCAGACTAATTTAGAAGGATTTAGTTTGAAATACATAGAGTTAGACCAAGCGATAATAGAAGAGAGACATAGAGATAAATTTTGAATAAAACTATTGAGATTAGGTGGAGGAAAGGACGTATAAATATAGCAACCGTCAGTATATAGTTGACTAGTAGAAGGAGAATGCACTTCAACATCACGCTATTCTGCCATAGTTAAGTTGAGATATAATTCAGGTAGGACGCGAAGAAACACAGATGAAGGATCTACTGCAGAATAAATAACAACCTTTAGAAAACATGACCTATTTACGATATACGTAATTTCAGAAGTTTGTCGGTGATAACACTTTTGGTGTGATATTTCAAGGATATAATGACTTTTGTATCTTGTGCCATGTCCCTGCAAGAATTAAATTTAGGAAGTGCTGTTAGGAGGATGGAAGCACGGTACAACCCACTTTCGCACGAAACATCTGCTCCGACTTACATGTGTTTTCTTTGCACTATATCCGATTGCGTTTCTATCGCCTTCAATAGCTAGTGAATGAAAAATATTTCATATTTTTGGCATTTCTGATGTTGACGTTTTTTCGAGTGGCACAAACTAACAAAATTTTTCAAAAGGACATCTAAATTTATCAATAACAAATTTAAAAATTTGTAATTTACTCTAAATTAAAATTAATTACCTCGAATGTTATTATGGCTTACTTGATTAATAATTTGTTTGTTAAAAAAATTTTAATCAATATAAATTGTATTTTGCACAGTTTACAAATCAAAATCATTAATTATTTAGTTATAAAATTGGATAAGTTAGAGGACATACAAATTTTTCGTTGAAACCTACACCTTACCATATAATTAAAAACATGTTGCTTTCCGCATATTCATTTTGGTCGAGCGGTTACATTAATAGAAGTAGTGTTAATCTCAGTTCACAAAAATCATTTTCACGCAAACTTTTAAAAATGTATTGACTTCTTTAATCCATATTTGACTTTTTTTTCGTCAATTTGTGTTTGAGTGTTGATTACTCCCGCAGGTAAAAAAGTCTGATCAAAGATAAAAACGATATTGTTAACAGAACAAAAAGTTTATCTTATTTTAAAATAACCCACTGAATTTAAGCGGCACTCTTGTTTAGTATGAAGAGCGTTGTATAAACTCTCCAGGCTAGTACCGACTTGAATTCGATGTGTTCACTTTAAAAGTGAAATTTATAGTGATTAATGTAAAAATTTCGTACTGAAAGTCATGTGTGCGTATTTTCAAATTAGGTAAAAAATTATGCAAATTTCAAACATTATTCAAATTGTAGGCATGTATGAAGACACACCTGTCATTTTCTGTCATCACAGTCTTCATCATCAGCATTACATCATACTAACAACTTATACCATATTGAATGGGTATGATGAATGTTTAAAACGTTTTGTTTTGAAATCATGAAATGAATTTTTGTAAAATTTTAATAAATTCTGCAACAGTTTTCCGACCATACAATATAAATTGTTGGGACCTGACAAATTGTTTCAGCAAAATGCCACGAAATTTTTTATAAAAAAAAAATAAGGAATTATTAAAAAACGACTTATGAGCATTAGTTTTTAACAATGAATTGCTTAGAAACAAAAAATTTCAGTACAAAATTTTTTAAATTTATTGAAAATTTTTAATTTTAAACATAATAATGGTATGTCGTAAATTCTGCAAGAAAATGTAACATTTTTCTGATAGCACAAAAGCATTCATGCAGTTGCCGTGCCAACAATTAAAAATAAGTATATTCAACATTAATTTTACTACAAAAATGCTTAAAATATTGCAAACAAGCACTTGAACATGCATCCAAACTTGCACAAACCACTGGCATGAATTCACAAACCATCACAGCAAAAACGTAAGACAAGATTGTCTTCTGACCGACCACATTCATCTGCCAGTGCCCCCAATTGCACAAAGGCATGGCGACCAAGGTATTATCTTATCTTGTATCTTTCGGGCCAGTCGTTAGATTGAATATATATATATAGCCTACTGGCCCACAAAAAAATGATGAAAATATATCATTCCATTCTTAATTTGAACACACAATTTTAATGCATTATGAAGTTTGAGAAAAGTGGTAATGATGATGATGATGATGATGATGACGATGGTGATGATGATGATGATGATAAAGAATATAAAGAATGAGGATGTTGATAATGGTGCAGATAGGATGATAACAATCTCACGACTAATAATTAGATTTTGATAAATTAGTTGAGTTGCAGAAAGATGGCCCTGCTGATGGCAACGATAGAGATGATGGATAGAGAAATAAATAAACGATGTTTGAAGCAACATTTCAGAATGAGACAAGTCAACAAGACACATCAGCCCCGATCATTTGGTGTTATTTTTGAACGATGATCTCCTAATACGTACATAGCACCGTGGATGCTGGGATAACTATGCTAAATGGATACTACTAACAAATTTCGGATTGTGAAAAATATTCGGCTGTCGAGTTGGTTTTGCACAAAAATTTTTCAATTTATAAAATTAAATGATAAATTATTTTTTTTAAGTTTCTGACAAACCCTCAAGTGAGTACAACTGCACGCCGTGGTACTTGCCTGCAAATTGCAAGTTTGAAACATGATTATCGAAAGAAAAATATTTGTCAAAAGTAAGGCCAAGTAATTTGATAGGACTATGAATGTTAGTACAAAATAAATAAAATGGTAGTATTGATCATTGAGGGTTTGAAATGTGCAATGTAAAAAATTTAAAAACTTCAGCAACGGCTGACTTGTCCAAATTAGCAGTATTATTTTAAGCCTGTGAGGTAGGAAATAATTTTAAAGCAAAGAGATCAATCAGTGTGTTTATGCCGTCCTGTAAAATGCAGAGGTTATGGACAGGATTTTTGGAGGTAATAGAAACTTGAAGATGCGTATCATCTGTACTTTGTTGAATGAAAAGCCATATTTGTTTAATGTGCCGCTGCCAGGGAAAATGTTAACTGGAAAAATAAGAGCCAGGAATGGAGCCTTTAGGAACTTCGGCGTTAACCCCGATCAAGATGTTCAAAAATAAATACAAAAGTTGAAAATTTTGAAATGTTAACAACTTTTATTTGAATAGAATTTTTTTTCTTTCATTAACTACATCACAACTTCTTTACAACACAACTAAGTCATTTAGACTGAAAGCCACAAATAACAAATACAACAACATCAAACGAACAGCTCAATAACTAACAAGAACAGAACAACAACAAAAACAGCAACAGTAGCAACAACAACAACTGCAACTGCAACGATAGTTAAACAGCAACAACAGAACAAAACCGGTGATGCGTTATATTCTCAATGAATTATTCAACGACGACGCTGAACGAGCTGATGAAGTCTGCCTGTCTGCCTCTC